GATACACCGTCGCCGTCATCTGAAGCGTTAAGATCTCCGTTGTCAATAACTCCACTACCATCGTACACAGATTACATGAAGCAATTTGTCCTACCCGACTTGCCACAGCCAATTATGGACCTATCAGAAAACTATCCTGTTACTGATCATTTTTCTGATGTTCAAACCGATCCACTTTGCAATGACTTCATAGTTGAAAGCAAATGTAGTGATCCAATAATAACTTCTTACTTAACAGAACCTATTGATTCATACAACGTGTCTGCTTTTCTATTTGGGAATCAACAATTTCCCAGCCAAGAGAAAATAGAAACGTCATCGGAAATTGTCACTTTATCGCCAGAACCAATTACCACCATAGTATGTTCAGTAGATTCTCCGAATCGCTATAAATGTACGCCAAATGAAGAGGCCATAGAGAGCAATGCTGTATCGTTTGATGACACTTTTTACGATAGTTTTAATGTTGACATACAACAGCTCACGGCAACTGTTGCACCGGTTAGCGAACCACCAACCGTATTAAGCAATGTTCCAATTTCAAGTGGAGATGAGTGTATGAGCATCAATATGAAGTCCTCTAACGAATTAAGTATTGAAAAGCCCGTAGACACAAAAGATATGAATCAAAATTTAAGTTCTGGATCAGGTGGTTATTACAAGCCGTCTCAAACACAGCAAAAGTCAAATGTGGTTGCATCTGCCGCAACAAGTGTTTTGGGCGGCCTTTCGAAAGGCTTAAAAGGAGGACTAGATGGCGTTTTTAGTGGTGTTAGTTCAACAACTGAAGTCAGTGAAGCAAATAACACGACAAAAAAAGGTTTTGGTTTTAATTTGGCATCTAAGCTTGTGCCAAATGTTGGTGGATTGCTTACCAGTTCAAGTTCGATCTCTAGCAAACCAACAGCACCAACGACAAAAACAGACACGGCTTCTACTTTAATAACGTCGTCAGCTGAAAATGTTTTAAGTGATACTAAAACGACATCTTCATCCAGTCTTTTCAAGAATACGGAGAACAATTTGTATATGGAAACAGTTCCAGACATTTCCGAGTGTTCAGATTTTTATAATAAGGCAATGGCAATGGAAAACAGTTCGCCAATGGTAAGAAATATATGTAACATTTACGACGAAAGCTATGATGAAATGATTTTAAACGAACAAATTATGAATGAATCGGAATCTGACTATGGCTTGCAAGAAAACCATTATTCGTATCACGAATCGAATGATAGACAAGGCGGGACTATAAGCCCAATCAAAATATCGCTAACGGATAATTTAAATGAATCAAGCTTTGTTGATGAGGTACAAGAAAAAATACAAATTGAGTCGGCGAAAAATTTGCCTAAATCTACAACCAAAAAAGGGAATACAACTTCTGGTGGTATGTTTGGTTCCATTCTAGGAAAAGCAGCTGCTGCTGTTCAATCAGCAACACAAGCTGTCAATCAAGGTGCATCCTCTGTGGCATCTGTTGTTGCGCCATTATCCACCACAATGTCTGGATCATCTTCGGAAAAACCATCGAATCGTAATGTTGATGCAGATCCACTTCGTTTCGATGAAATGAATGTCGATTACGGTTATCAACTAACCAATGATGAGTCTGAGTCAGGCCGTTTTGCAAATATTGGCGATGATTATCAAAACAGCAATATCAAAATGAATGAATATAATACATGCTTTAATAACACAACATTCCCTGATTACCACTCAAATGGTAATCAGAGCAGGCTTAAAGATGACACAATAATTTCCTTGCAATCTCATGTAATTGGAAATGGCACAAAAATACTACCGACGGTGCCGCCGGCAGGATCCACCGGCAAAAAACTGCCCACCGTCAATGGTAAATCGGGATTGTTGATAAAACAAATGCCAACGGAAATCTATGACGATGAATCAGAGTTAGATGACTTTGATATCAGTCCGTCAATCGGAAAAGAACCGAATTATCATATTGATAGTGAGCAGGATGATTACTACATGGATCTTCAGCAGACGACACCGTCGAATCATCGGACGAACGGTTATTATGAACACGACAGAAATTGTTATGATTATCGAGAAGACTACTTTAACGAGGAGGATGAATACAAGTACTTGGAGCAGCAGAGGGAACAAGAGCAAAATCAGCCGAACAACAAGAAATATCCAAAGCAAACAAAGGATATGTCATCCTCCCATCAACCTCAAGCCTCACTAGACTTCATTGACGAGGGCCTGGACGATGACTCTGTTTACGAGAACTATCACAGCGAAGAGGACAGTTGCAATTTTATAGATGAGAGCTCTAGTGGTAGCGTGGGTCCCATCGTAGGGCAGAAAGTTGATGGAACGTGTTTAAGGCTAAGCAAAGACTTAATTGGGGAGGTACCATTGGCCTCTATCAACAATCAGCTGAAAGGGGAATCCCTTACTGCAAAAAAGATGTCCCCTGAAAAGCATGATAGTGCTGTTGGTGAATCGACGACTATAATTGAAGATTATAACGAAGAAGAAATATATTTAGCGAAGGAAAGAGATGAGGACATCAATGATCAACTATCGGAGCTCACTGAGGCAAATAAACTGACGAAAAAAAAGAAACAGCTCTTGAGAGGCGAAACCGAAGAGGTTGTGGGTGGTCACATGCAGATGATAAGGCAGCCGGAAATCACAGCCAGGCACCGATGGCACTGGGCGTACAATAAAATTATAATGCAGCTAAATGTGAGTATAGAACATCAAATCTTATAACGTTAACAATCAAAGCTCTATTAATTTACAATCTATTTTAAATATTAAGATAAACGTATATCCTATCTTAGAGTTATACATTTTACAATACATTTTCAGGGTTTTGAGATACTAATAATTTTACGTATTTTTATAAAACGTTATTTGAATAATGATAAGCTGTTGGACAGGCAATCCACTTCTTTAAGAGATGAAGTACATCCCCCCACTATTATATCGAAACTGTTTTCTTGCTGAACCTGGTGGCCTTTTGAGTGTAACCTATTTATATTTATTAAAACCCCATAAAGTACACACATTTTTGGTCAGGATCTTTAGACGGGTCGATCTAGCTAATTATATTTGTCCGTCTGGCAAATGGCGTTTTTAAGACGCATTTAAGCGGGGCTGTTTGTAGGAACATTGGATTTTCAGTATTCAAGTTGGAGATAACTATAGTGATAACTAGCTGTGCATGCGAATTCATCCGCGTGGATTAGCGATTTTCTTTTTTGCCGCAGCTAGCTTCATTTCTTGTTTTTTTTTTGAAAGCTATCCGATACAGTCGTCCGATTCGGTCGACTCAGACACCATATACCATACAATTGAATTAGTTGGTAATGTTGATCATGAATATATACACTAAATGGGGTTTAACTGACTTTATAATGCCCTCTGTCAGGGTATATAGACGTCAAACCGAGTAGGCGAACAGTTGTTTTCATAATAACCCTCTTAAAAGCTATTTTAACCGGGGTTATCACTTTGTCAGCTCATTTACATGCGGGCAATCCAACACTTGAATATCAGAGTGAGCTCTTGTACATGCAAATTTGCAAATTTTCATTGCGCATTACAAACAACATAAGGTATCTTGCTTACCCTATACGGTAGGACTAATGCTAATGAATCGAACTAATGCTAATAACTAGAAGGAAATATTTTCAAACCTTATTAAATATAAATATATTTTGTTATTTAGGAATAAAATTGAAATCGGTAGTTGAGATTCTCGCTTCAGTAAAGTTGCTTACAGACTTTGAGGGTAGAATACTTGTAACTGAACTTGATATATTTTTATGTTTATTAACCAATTCACCTTCAGGTCAGGTAATTGTACCTTATCTATTCACTTCCGTACAGGTACACCTATTTCCCCTTTAATGGATTTCAATTTAAATTTCAAACTTGGGTAACTTATCGTCTAGAGAACTAATTCGGCTAATCTATTTTTCATACAACAGCCTGGTATCGAGGCTCTCAACTGCCGCAACCAGTTGTGCTGTTCATTTATACCAGTTATATAAACCGACACGGTTTAAGTACATTCTATTTCGCCTTAGCTGTATTTCTGGTTAACAACAATTCAATGAACTTTTTATATGATAGACTACACGAAAGAGCGGGTTCAATCATTAATGGTTTATGGAATAAAGATGGTTCGATATTTAATAAACCATATAAAGCGGAAAATGTACGATCTATGGCAGAACTAACTCGGAAGCTAAGCATTCTTCTAAAATATAATACGGAAATTGCACATGTAAGATGCCGCTGCAAAAAATCTAATAATAAAACGAAATTTAGACTTAAAAAATACGCCTTTATGTGCCGAAAGTACGCCACTTGTATCTCAGTTTTAAAGTTATCTCACTGAATCTTTCCCAAAAGTTGTGTTCATCATTCAGCATACATTTTAAAATAAATTAGTTTTTCTACAATAAAAAAATTAAATTAAATTCAAAGAATTGCTTAGCTTTAATAGGAGCAATCGAAAAAATATTACAAAATTAGTAATACAAAAAACAAGAAGGAATTAAATACAAAGCCTGAAAACTTTTTAATTCAACTTCTGGTTTTTGCTAACCACTAATATCTGCATAATCAATCCAAAATATTGAACAATAATCATTATACAATGATTATTATAAACAAAGTCGCATACGAAGATCATAAATACAATTTTTTCCTGACTAGACCTTATCACCACAAAAAAAATTGAAGTGTATACAAGGGGATGCCCAGAGCTTGGTTTTCACTTTAACAGTGAAATGCTCTCTTAAAGATGACTTTTTGTATAGTTAAGCTTTCCAAATGCGAGCAGCTCTCTGTGGGAACATAAGTATTAGGGCATGCGCAGTAGGAGAACCCAAAATAATATTTCGTACTGAGACTCAAGATTTTTTTCTGTATACATGAGCTTTTTCCAAGGGGGGCGGCGTACTAAAAACTAAAGTTTCCATCTGCACAAATGCTTTTTTGCTGTAGCTTCATATAATCGAAGCTAGGCGCAACAAAGAACAATTTACTAAGTAGTAGTTTCATTTCGACGTGAAGTCATATCATTGCACAAAAAATTGTGCGTTGGAATTTTATACAGTTTTTATTAAAAAAAAGATTAGAGAATTTTTTAGACTGCTTGTACATAAATTCATTTAAAAAAAAAACACTCTAATAGTATAGAGTCTTTTGAGGAGTTGTATTTAAAAGTATATACATTTTTGCACATCTGCAACCACTTTGTAATTTCCGTTAATGCTATGATTAATATAATTAATGGTGTGAATAAAAGTAAATTAACTTTGAAAAGTAGTGCTTCTCAATATAATTTAAACATGTCTGTTGAAGTATCTTTTTAAGAAATCCTTAATACGTCCCAACACAAAAAAAGCTCAGACTAAATAATTTATTGAAAAATGTTTGAAAATTAAAAAAGATCTGTTGGATACATATTATGTGCAAGCACGTTTAAAGAGTTAGAATTTTATAGATTCCCACTAATATTAAAACATTATTTTAGGTGCATTTGTATATAAGTATTCAGTGTTTTCGCATTGGCAATTGGATTAAACGTATGTATTTTCGTAAAAAGCAACAACAGCTTATTTAAAGATACAAATATTTAGGTACAATACCGTTCGTGCGTTAAATAAATCAGCGTCATTTCATTTCGAGAGCGGGTTTAAAACAAATCAAGGATGATCACATCTCAGTCGCCAACGCCGGGGGTTCCAGAAAAAAATAGGCAGCAGTTTGCAAACCAATACGCTAGGAACTCTGAGGAAAATATTGACCTGAAGAGCCAAATCCAGATAAAGGAACAATTGCGGCACCAGCAACAATCAAAAATGTATGCCACCTCACAATCGAACTGTTCAAATGCAGGAGGATCTGTTCGACCTGCGGAAAAACTGGACTATTCGCTGAAATCAAATTCCGTTCAACGCCAATTAAATTTGACCCTTGCTCAGCCAAAACAATCTGAAATGCAACCACCGAATAACAAGTCATCCATGAGCTTGGATAAACCTTACTCCAACTATCCCAATATAAATGGCAGTATGGTCTCCATTAAAAGTGAGCAGCAGTTGTGTCAGATATATAATTCACAGCAACACTCCGATTACATCATTTCCGATTATATGGATAAAATTGCGACGCGGATAAGTTTGCTCGAGACGGAACTCAAATTTGCTTGGCGTGCACTGGACTTGCTTTCAACGGAGTACGGAAAAATTTGGACTCGCTTGGAAAAGCTTGAAAACATATCAATAGAACAGCAGTCTGTGGTTAATAATCTAATGGACCTTATAGGAGCAGCGAACCAAGAACGGCAGCAAGGAAATAGCGAAGAATTGCCATTTGATTTATTTCCGAATCAAGATCAGTTGCTACCTTTAGTAATGCAAAATACTCTGGATATGGACGTTATCCTAGGAGCCGAACCAACTGATCCAGATCCATTTGATAAAGAACTAAGGTTTCGAGATCCCGATGACTCGGTGGGAAAAGAGCTAAGACTCGCTGGCGGCACTCCTTATCTTAATTTTGAAAATGTAACTATGAACAACCAGAGCTTTGATAAAAGTAACGAGCACAATTTAACCAGCTTTCAATCCGACAATGAAGCTGCCCATAATGATTTTCGACTACAACTTTTCTCAGATTCTGATCTTATGTTGTACGAGCAGCAGAAATTTCTCGCAAATAATGCACGTGTGGAGCTCATGAAGGAGTTTATAAACGGACGCCGAGTTCTGGATGAGATTTCGGCATCTACAGGTGTATCATCATCATCAAATAGTTCCAAGAAACCAACAAATATTTCTAGGTCAAATGAGGAAACTAAAAATAGTCAATCCTATGTTGAATTAGATGAATTAGGGGATCGCATGGAACAAACATGCAATACTTGCAATGAACTAGATAACGGTATCGAAAATGTACAGTTTTTTCGCAATGAACTAGATAACGGTATCGAAAATGTACAGTTTTTTCGCTTAGCAGCCTCTAAAACCGGCGAAGGCGGAAACCAAGTACTACCCATTGAAGACACAGGAGGAACAAAGACCCCATCCAATGTCACTGAAATGAACGAATCCTTTTACAAGCAACTCAATGAGGCATGCCGCGACAATGATTTGAGTGCTGAGATATTTAAGGTTGATGCAATATTGCATCAGACTGAGTTTGCCCACGGAAAAGATTCAGCAGCAGTGTTGGCAAATCAGAAGGAGAAGCCACCGACCTTTGATACTGGTACTACAAATACTGTTCAGTCGAGAAAGCATCGAAAAAAGAAGCATCATACTAGCGAAATGGATATGATTAATAAGTTAAAGTGTATACTTGCACAAGCACAATCATCGGGAATTGTTAATAGCAATGTTGAAGTTCAGGGCACTGAATCGTTGGATCTGAATGCGGGTTATAATCGTATTGAAATTGAAGCCGGAAAATCACACAAAGGTTTAGAAAATCGACGTTCAACGACTTTTTACAGCTATTTGAGTGATGACATCCGAATCATTTTGGAAAACATAATAGAAACTTTAATAAAAGAAATAAATAAAATTCCTGGTCTGCAGTCTTTAAGTGCTTCACAAATCAGTCAGTTAAGCAACACAGTATGGTTAGAGGAGAAGTTTTTTCATAAGCTCAGTCAGGTGGATAAGAAATTGACTTTGCTCTTGCTCAACCCCATAACAATAAGCGAAGAACTGCAAAGACTTTGCATTGCAAACACCAATGAAAAATTTGTTTTGGTAATGAAAAAGTTTATCAAGAATATTGACACACTAAAAAAATTGGTGGCCAACTCACTAGACGATTTTAAAAAAGACGCAAAGTCGCAAACAAATTCGCTCAATCCAAGTCCGTCTCTCATATCAAAAACTAACATTTGCAGTTTTAGTGCTAATTTGTTGAGAAATAATTCTGATCTGGACGAACAACTTAAAATTCTCGAGACACAAGAGATTGAAATAAACAGGAAAAAGAAAATAGGGAAAATAAAAAATGACCTTGCTGGAGAAGTGGACAAGTCACCTACTAATTTAGACACGCAATTTAAAAATAATTACACTTATGCCGCCAACACAAAGTATGATTTTGTAAATTCGGCAAAAAACATTTACAATGAGGATGAATACATACAGTCTTTGAAAAAGAGCCTGGAACGCCACAACAGCATGATATTTTTGCTCCATTTGCAAAATCCTGAGAAGCACAAAGTATCTGATGAAATCAATGAGGCACTAATGGATTCAAATCAAGCAAGTCACAGTCCCCCACCTCCTGCTCCCAACGATATTCTTCAATTTACTGAAAATGTAAATCAATTCAGTGAAACGAACCCGAAATCTGATTCAGGAGTATCGTCAATGAGCGCTTGGTCAATCAATTCCTCTTTATCTGTCGGACTTAAAACCCGCAGTTTTTTGGCCGCAAGTTCCAACTTAAATAGCTTACCTGCTTTTAAACAAAGTGATTATGTTATATCGGAAGAAAACCTTAACTATATTCACGAGCTTTCTAAAAATCTACCGATTTGCTCTGCGTATGAGAATAAGTCTATTTTTAATATTAACTCCGTGTCAAATAACGAAAGGCATTTTTCAACTGTTGACGAAATGCTAGAATGGGATCAGCTTAACCAAAATATTTCAAGGGAACCGCTGAACAGCAGCGGTATGCCAGACCTTTTGACTGCTCAAATAGAAAAAGGTCAAAAGGTCAAAAGCGACGAAAAAGCACAAGGCGAAACCATATCAAGGCGTTCTATGGATAATGAAAAAACGCTCAACCAATCCATCAGACCACCTTATCTGACAGATAGACTTGTATTCTATCCGTCTTCCAACTTTATAACCGATTACAAAAGCAACGATGATTTCGATTGCTTGGGCCAACAGAACCAAATTCGATTAATCGAAAACAAATCGGAGAATATGTCTGTTCTTCCAGCTCCTTTAGTTCAATTCGATTACACTGGTAAGAATTATTCTCAAGCTCAAGCTCAGGCGAAAATTCTTGCTGGACCTACAAGTGTAAGTAAATCAATGGAGGGTTTTGAAACTGTACCTGCTGATGTTTCCATCAATATTAGGGGTCACCATCATCTTGTTTCAGGACTCACGCCTTCAAAGCCACCTCAAGTATGGAATAGACTCAATAGTCTCCTAACAGATAATTTAAAGCTGAAGCGAATATCCAAGTTTAATCGATCCCAGTCATTACCCGGTGACGTGCAAAGTCAAGGCAATCAGAGACAGTCGCGTGGCCAGGGGGCTCGTGCCCGTTTATTTCCCATAAGCGGGCTAGTGGTAACGGAGCCCAGGTTCACTTATCGAAAAAAATTCAAAAGCTACCAATGCGGCTTTTGCGAAGAGCGACAGAAACCCATTTTGTGCGACGAAGTTCACCAGATGAACCCAACGAATCTTCATTAGTAAGTGACACAAATGTAAAAAAGAAATCTCTTTCATCGAAGATGAACAACTTAATGCAAAAGGCAAAAACATACAAACGGCACAGCTTTGCCCTGCGCCGCGGCTGTAATATGTCAGATACTGAATTAAATATGCCGGACTTTACTTCATCGGATAAAGGTAAAACCTCTGTACTGGAAAGTGAAGTTGTTAATCGATACGAGGATAGTGCAAGTGATGATTTGAATGACGAAAATTCATGTGCCTATCAGAACGAACAGGAACTAGAAGGCTCAATGGAGGAGGAGGACTGTTTACCAAATAACATTTTTGCTCTAGTTGGAGACCTTAAAAAGTCTCAAAAACCCATACCACTGGCCGTCTCAACTGCACATAACAATGAAATTTGCCATGACAAGAATGTAGTAATCAAAATACCAGAGATGCCCTTGGAAACATCGCCCCAAGCATGCCACATTGACGATGTCGGAGGAGATGAGAACATACTGGGAATGCCGTCGGTTAATACTGATATCATCCCCCGTCTTAGTATACCCAATACTTTTGAAGAAGAAGTTGGGGGGGACACAAAATTAAATTCAGTTCTGGAAACAGCAACAGAAGCTCGTAGTGGTTCTAGCAGTGGCGCTTTATGGGTCGCACAGCAGTGCCTAGACCTTCCAAGCAATTCGGGCTACGGATCGCGGGAAGATGACGATAATCGAAGTCAGCACTCTGCTCGCACGCTCTCATCTTCTCGTCGACAAAGCACTGAGGACAGCATAGACACAGACGATGAATATTTTTATTATGAACTTCGGCAGCTAGAGAAACAGGAACAGCAAAGCGCAGAGCTCACAGGAATTGTGTCTGGTGAACAACGTGCTGATAATGAAATATTGTTTTCACAGATAGGACAACTTTTAGAAAACGATATTACCATAGGAGACCGTTTTTCCCACTCTGATATCCGTAAAGATGAAACAGAGACCATAAGTTACTCTCCCAATGAAAGTGTAAAATTACGGATGTCTGAAGTATTTGGAGAACTAAAACGAGTCGTCAATTTACAGACAAGTGCTGACAATGATGTCTATACAGCTTCTACCGAAGCTGTTGGAGAGTTTCCTCATGTAAAGCAAACCGGCAATGGATTCGCTGCAGTATATGACTTGCATAGCGCTTGGCAAGATGTAAACGGTGATTATCAGAATACAGCATTAGAAATGGAGTCCAATGACGGAGCACAGAATGTGAGAAATGACGGCGAAACACTGCTGTATTTCAATAACAAGCAACGCAAATTGCGTCGATTGAAAAAGAAGCCCCGAGGTAAGAATGCAAATGTATCTCGCAAGGCAGCCAGCTCAAGCTCATCTTCCCATTCGGAAAATGAAAGCGAGCGGGAGCAACATAACCAATTCCTTGACCAATGTACCCCACAATCGGAGACCGAAAAAGGAAAAATTGGTGCATCAATCAATTCATTGGCATCTAGCGAGACATCAGGACCTGATACGCCTGCAGATGTGAGCGATGTTAATTTAAGTGAAAATGAAAACAGCACAATTGTGGATAGCACTACACTAGACAATGTTGATTCGCACGGCACAATCAATCCCGAGATTTTTTCGAAAGCCAATGAAAAGACATTATTAAAATTAGAAGAAGATCGGAAAATGGAAAATCTGCTTTTGGAAACGCCTCAGAGTAATGTCTTGGAATTGAACCCAAGCGAAAAAAGTGTACCTCAGTGTCAAGAATCCCAGGTCGAAGAATCTCAGGTGGTTGAAAATGGAGGCGCAACTGGTCTTGGTAGCAGCAAGTGGAAACTTTTAAAAACATTAAAAGAACGAAAAATTGAAGACAAAAATAATCAGGAAAAAATCAAAGAGGATGAACTGAGCAAGGATAGAGAAAAGGTAAATAAAGCCAACAATTACAGATGGGCGAACCACAAAAATTAGTTTTTCACGGGCCCAAATATTTTTCGGAAATTTTTAAACATTTATAAGCCTATAGTTTTTTTACAGAACAACAAAAAAACAGCATTACAAACAAGAAAAGAAGCTAACTTCGGCCAGCCGAAGCTTATAATTATGTATATTTAATAAGGATAACGAATGCCTTATAACTACAAAATGTATTTATGATTTTGGTAAAAATGATGTGGTTTTTCCTTCAATGTCAAAATTTAACTAATCTAGAAAAAAAGAGCTAAGGGCGGGAAGTGTGCAATTAACATACATTGTTTTAATATTAGGGTTCACAAGAATCAAAATCTTTTAGGAAAATTCATGCTTTTTCCTACGAATGAAAACTGGCTTAAAATTTTTATATAGCAATTGATATAGAGTGAAGAGTGAACACATTACGATATAATTTTATAAGTCTTTCAACGGTGATCGCCCTGGTCGTTTATTTTGTAAGCCTTCTGGAAAATACAATAATTGCTTTTAGACCTCCTCTTTTGCGGCATCAAATTATTATTAAGGATGCTTATAACATATGCCCACATTTTAAGATCAAGTTTATCGTATTGCAATTTTTCCCAGCTGAATTTATTTTTATTGGTAAGAGTGATGCAGAATCCAGATTTAAGTTGTAACAACTACAACAATGAAATCTCGCTAACTCGATCTGTTGTGATTTCAGAATGGCGGCGGCAATGGAGAAGTTGGATTGCGGACCAATGGACATCCTGGCGACAATCCCTTTTATAGCAATATTGACAGTATGCCGGATATACGACCTCGTCGAAAATCTATTCCCCTTGTGTCTGAGTTGGTAAGCTTTTTAACAATTTGTCAACCTGTTTTACCTCTTAAGCAAGGATTGAAATTAAGGACACACATTAAAATAGTCAAAACATTATAATGTATATTTCTGATAATAACTGGATCGGTTATTATACAAAAATAGTACTTATTACAGCTGTTATCTAACGACCCTTTGCTTACTTTTACCATTACTCTTATTAAAATTACTTTCGTCGATGATTTGATGGATTACAGGTTCTCAAGGTATTGACTATAGAATTCAAACATTTTATTATAACATTTTAACTAGCCGTTTTGTAATTAAAAAAGTAATTTCTATATACTTTTTAAACTAACCGATACATGCCAACTGCAAAAGTTGTTGCTGTTTTTTTTATAATTTAATTATAATTCTGCACTGTAGACTTCATAAAACACTAAAATCTAGTCTAGTATAAAATTTAAAACAAACAAAAATTGTTCTTTTTTTTTTTTTTTGTCAAAATAAAATTAAACTAATATAATAATAATTAATTAAAATATAGTTAAATTTATATAGCAAAATTATTATTATACCCAAAGGTATCGGCTTTTGTTAATTAATAAAAAACGGATCTTACTAAATTAATATCGTATGCTATTAATTTTTTTTAAATTTACCAACTTTACACATAGAGTTCATAATGGAGTTCAAAATATATTTTGTAGAATTAATGTTTTTATCATATTTTTTAAAGGTAAAACAAAATAAATATAAATTCGATTTTCATTGTTCTAAAAAAGAAAATTATTGACTTCATTATTTTGTTTGGCTTAAATAACTGATATCACAACTTGAATTGAACAGGAAATACATTTGTTTTTATTACAATATATATTAGTATACTAATATGAAAAATTGTTGCTTTCTAAATGATCTTTTCATTGTGCTGGTATCTTCGCTTACTTATCACATTAAGGGTATTACAGACAGGACCTTTACCACTTAACATATTCTATATATACCTTGCAAGTCCATTCAGACTGCATTCTGACGATGAATCAGCGCTTAGTACCCTTTACAATTACAATTATTCATTAACAAGAGCATTCCTGAGATGGTCGCAATGAACACTTCATAAATATTTTTAATAAATAATCATCGGTGGATCTATTACCATTTTTCATTTTCAGAAGGAATTTTGATTGCTTTAAAATTGTACTATTTTATTTTTTTACCCTCTTTTACCATTTAAGCTGGCACAGTACATTTGTCCCCAGCATAAGCATCTTAATAATAAGTAAAAAGAAACAAACAAACCAATTATTGACCCGTTTTCATCCAGGATTAAGGTTAATGGGGTCTTTTCATAGGAACATTTTTTTCTGACCAACCTTTTATCAAAAGGAAACCATTATAAAACAATAATTTATACGCGCGCTAAAAAAAAAAAAAAAAAAAAAATTAAACAGTGTGCCCAACGCATACAAATTGCTTATCTATTTTGTACATAACTAAACAATTTGTTGAAAAGTTTACTTAGTTTCAATATTTATTTTTTAAAGCACATGTCAGTTGATAGTTATTAACATTATTTTAAATTGAACACCTTTGCTTTCTTAATTGTTTATAGATAACCACATCAAAATGCCAATGAATTAAAATTATAAAAAAAATTATTCATAAAAAAACGTTCAAGTTGTCGAAAAATATATCATTCAATAAGTAAATAAGCCTGAAAAGCATTTCAATAGTTATATATTTAAGCCGTGAGTAATGGAACATTTTTGGTTCTTTGGTCAATGGCTATTAGCCACAGCTACAGCAGGCGCCCTCAAAGAAGGATCACTGTAATCTGTTAAGTTTGACTGAAAGTGAATGGATCACGGTTGGTAGATATCGAACGTTAACGCTTTTAACGCATATATAATATATAGAAAGCATAGAAAGTCGCCAAACGGAAAACCGAAAAACTAATATTCGCATTAAAGAGATTTCTCAAATATAAAAATAGTTTCTAATATTCAAAAAGAAACACATTGTACTCGAACATAAAGATCAGTGCACTTTTGTGTTATTCTTGAATTGTCCTTATTTGAAACGATTTTAAATTGTGTTTGCATTGTGCCTGTTTTGCTTCTAGTCATTTCTACAGCTTAAAACGTATTACATTTTACCTGTATGTTAGATTTGGGATAAAGTAGCTTTGTTTGCAGAATTAAAGAACATACATTTAAAGCATGTGTAGTAATTTTCAGAAAGACTAACTATCTTACTTCTCTTCAGACAATGGCGGCTACAAAACGCAATGCTGGACTTACATCGGCTGTTCCACGTGCAACGCTCAATGACGAAGAACTGGTAATGCCCCCTCCCGCCCCTTTTTTGATTTTTTCAATTTCAACATTTTTTTCGCAAAATAAATTTGTTTTTAAATAAAGTTGAAAATTTCAGCTTTTTATCTTTAACCTTTTTCTCAAAAAAATGTTTTTGCCATTTTTCGGCCCTAAAAGGTGAGGAGAACCTGCCTTAAAATTAAATGGAAAAATCGTTTATTAAAACGAATCGTATTCAATATAAAAGCTGCAAAGGCAATGAGAAATTTTTCATATTTTTTTTTTTTAACAATCGCTCCTATGACTATCGCTATCCGAAGATGTCGTCCGATCCGGCCCGTCCCTACTAAACTATTTGTAAAGTTTCATCGAGATAACTTACACGCTTAGATCGATTCAGATGGTGAAGCTAATCATGACTATACATATCAACTTTATGGAGTCTGAGGAGTCTGAATACCCAGCAAGATTATATCATAGTTATTTTACATCAACAAACATGATTTTTAAACAAGAAAGGAAGCTAGCTTCGACTTCGGCTTAATACCTTTGCAGTCATGAAATATTTCTAACAAAATGAAGCCCTTAACAACATCGAATTTTCAATTATGTTTCTATATTTTCGGCGATTGTTCATAGGACAGCTATACTGTGTAGGCGTCCAGTTTTAAAAAAAACTTAATTCAAAGTTCGAAAGTCATTAAAATAGGACTACTATGTGATCTAGATGCAACATAACTTTTGATTTTCACACAAGGAATGTCATGCAGTGGTGACAGAGGCGATGACATAACTTTTGATTTTCACACAAGGAATTTCATGAGTGTCAGAGGCGAAAGGTTTATTTGTTGTTTAGTTTTTTTTTCTTATGTTTAATGTTTAAATGTTTGCTTTAAACTATTTATTTGATATGCATAAAAATGATATACTTTTAAAATTCTGTGTGTTGTCCTCAGAAAATGCACGTATACAAAAAAGCTCTACAAGCTTTGATCTACCCCATATCATCGACAACACCACACAACTTTCTATTATGGACGGCGACATCACCAACTTACTGCTACGAGTGCGAGGGTCTACTGTGGGGAATAGCACGGCAAGGAGTACGTTGTACGGAGTGCGGCGTAAAGTGCCATGAGAAGTGTAAGGACCTGTTGAATGCTGATTGCCTTCAGCGTAAGTATTTTCAACACTTAAAGCGTAAAGTTCTTTTAAAAAATGTTTCCTTCTGTGTCGTAATTATAGGTGCCGCCGAAAAGAGCTCTAAGCACGGTGCGGAAGATAAGGCAAATTCCATTATTACAGCCATGAAAGAACGAATGAAGCAACGCGAGCGAGAGAAGCCAGAAATTTTCGAGTTGATTAGGTAATATTCATTTAAAACCATTGACTTGACTAGTGCGGAAAATCGGCGGGATAAAGCTTGTACGTTTTCTGTTTTATAACCAATAATGGGCTTATTTACTTAGTGGGCTTTAAAATAAAATAATTTGCAGTCTCAAAATTGTAGATCAAGTTAAAATAAGTTTGTTAGTATTTATTATGGTCAGAACCATTGAAAACGAAGTATAGTAAACCTTGAATGGCATTCATCCACTAGAGCCGTATTCAGCGTTGAGGAGAAGAGCCACAACGGCCATATGAAAGCTGTTAAACAGAGCGTCCTGGATGGCACGAGCAAATGGTCGGCCAAAATAGCAATCACAGGTTTGAAATACTGCAAAACTAACTTCTAATTGTCGTATTTTCTGTTGTCAACTATTTAAATTGGATGTATGTGAATGTATTTGCAATTCGCATTTGAATGACACGCTGTGTTTATTATTATTATATTGGTCTAATAGAAATACTTATATTTTTTACATAAATGAATGTGCGATTATGTGTAATTTATTTTCATTTGGTATTCAGAAATTGTGATATGCACGTACGAATTACATACATGTAAATTGTGAAATCCGCATATAAAAATAAATGAAATATTTACTCATGTGGTAAAGTAAACCAAACCGAAATTTGGTACTGCATGATACCAGCATCAAGTGATTCTTCTCGTTATATGTGGATTTCATTTCAAATTGTCAAATACGAAACATTTTCAACTTTCACAAATGCAACATATTAGGTAAACAGCAAAGCTGGTTGTTCCAGAAATGTGCCTACTGTTATTAAAACAAGACAAAAGGATTTTAGTAATGTCTTAAGGTCAATTTTTTGAATAAGCATCAAATGGGGATAAAAGAATGCACCCGCCTAGCCAATTCAATAACATATTTTTAGTGTTTTGATATTTCAGAGGCAATAAGGAAATATCTAAAGTAATCCCGAATCATAAATAAACTTAATCGATTTAATTTAAGGATGACTTTCAATGTGGATCCCGATACTCACATAGATTCATTAGAACAGGCTGAGCACGCCACTGTTGAGGGAACATCTAAGTGGTCATGCAAGCTAACAATTACAGGTACACAAACAAAGCCAGTTGGCACTCAATGAATTTCTTTTTCTTTAAGTTAAATATTTTTTTTTGGTTTGCCACTTTCTATTTTAGTTTCACGATACTATAAAAAAGTTCACTTAATACCATAAAGCCTATTTTGATATGGCATTGTTTTTTTGCCAGTTTTCGTTAAATTCTGTGGAAAGTTTGCAACCATGAAGTATGTATATATATTCTTGATCAGCATCATCAGTTTTTAACCTATCTTACTGAAACTTTAACAAAAATCAAGTAGCTAATTTAGGAAGTAAAAAGTTATAGCAGCATAATTTTTCTACAATAGCCAAAACAAAATATATATGTTCATTCATAAACGTTTCAACACGATTAATAGTCGCCTGATAGTCGATAGTTATCAAAAAATATTTTTGAAATAAAATTCGTAAAATAAAAATTTACAAAAAGTCTTATAGTATAAAATTGTATGTACATATACAGCTATATTATAAGCATCGGATATCTTAGGCTAGATTCTATTATTGCTAGATATTGTTAGATATGTTGAAAAAGGTTAATAATAAGATCTTAAAAAATCTTTTACTATATATTTGTGATGACTGCAAGGGTATACTAACTAGTACAAAATTCAGCTTCCTGAAGCTAAATCCTTCAATTTTTTTTATGCTGATCTAGAATATATATACTCTTTGAGCTAAATATAGTGTTCGTATAGATTGAATCGGAGTTTAAAAAATATTCGGTAAACATTTTTTAAACTGTAAATTAAACAGAGTGGCACAGAATTATATCAAACATGGCTTTTTTTAATTTAAATTGTTCTATAAGTTTATTTTTTTTTTAAACAAATGTTTTCTTTGATAAATTTTGTTCAAATTTACAAACAAGGTTATCTTGTGGGCTGTGAAAAATAATTTCCCCAGTAACGTGTGGCTTTTCTTTAAAAAAGCAAACACCGTCACACACACTTTTAAAATATGATTACAATGCAAGTTAACTTTACCTGGTATATCCTCTTTAGATGTGTAGTTTATGAAGGTATATTTAAGAAAACCTTGTTCTAATTAAGTGACCTATTATATTGCTTTCATCTTTTCCGCTCTTAACATTGATAATGTGATTTGTTTCAAAAGTTGTACTATAAAACTAAATGTTTTCTGTATACTATTAACACTTTTACCTTTGTCACTTGCATCTTTCTGACTAGAAATCATATGTGCATAAATGTATTTACTTATATTAACTAACTGATTGTATGTACATACATATATGTATATGTGAAAAAGCGGTCAAGTCAGCAGCACTGCACTGTTTCTGCTGAATTGATATCAAAGATCATTATTAAAAACACTCCGTTTTTTCTCTTCTTCTTTCTTCCTTGAAAATCAATTCCTAACACTGAAAAAAATCATGAAAAACAACTAAAAATAATTCAAATAACTATTTAAATGCACATCATTTAAATACCACAATTATTTAATTCGTTTCAAACACCGAAAATTGGATTTTAAATTTCAAATATAACTTTATAATATTCAAAAAAAAAAAAAAAAATTACTACAATGATCACAAAACCGTAATACAAAATTATAAACAATAAAATAAAATTACATACCCGGTCACCTGGAATATTGTTATAATCGGCTCGGAATATCGGATTACCACATACAAATTTTGTGATTTTTGGACTATTTTGTTGGAAACGAATAAATTGATGAACCCCCTTATAATAATTGACCTGATTTGATGCAGTGATTTGTGCTCAAGGCCTGATAGCGAAGGATAAAAGCGGTACCAGTGATCCATATGTGACGGTGCAGGTTAGCAAGGTGAAAAAAAGAACGCGAACAATGCCGCAGGAACTAAACCCTGTGTGGAACGAGAAGTTTCACTTGTGAGTACTTGTTCCCTAAATTCAATCCTATAAGTCTCCTCCACACAAAAAAAATGAGCTGTAAATGATAACACGCAACAATTACACGTAAAAAAAATGGATTTTTTCATATCAAATGCGGTGCTATATGCCTTTAATGTTGATATTTATGCATATCAAACTGATTGTTTCCAAAATGTTAATTTCATATTTTATATCACTTTCATTTATTTTGATTAATATGTTTTCGAATTATCATAATATGGTATTATGTTATGCCTGTAAACCGTAATTTGTTTATACAGTCGAGTCCCGATAATTCGAAATGGCAAGGGGATCATTTTTTTTTACGAATTAGACGGGAATTCGATTTATCGAGATTTTTTTCAAGGAAACAGAATTTTTTACGAATTATCGCGATTTTCGATTTATCGGGGTACGAATTATCGGGATTCGACTGTACCTTTAAGCGGCTCAAACGCTTTCAGACTTATTCCGTTCTCTTCGAGGCAAGATTTGAATTAAGGCCACTTTTTCTATGTCAAGAACTTAAGATAGAGACTTTTAATAAACAGAACATATTGCCAGCAGCTTACTATATACATACATACGTAGTTCTAAACGCGATTTTGCCATCCCATATAAAAATACGCGATTGGAAAATTTCAAGTCACATTTGATATGAAAATATACCATTGTTTTATGTATTATTTCAAAATGATTAGTGTTAAAACACCATTTCCGTATAGTGAGTTAATAACAAAAAACGTATGTATATGTAAGATATTAGGAATATTATGAATATAACTTTTTTATATTGTTTTTACTGTGCACTTGCGTTTATTCAATAATTTTTCGGCCAATGTTCTTAACCGAGATACACAACCTTCTATACCGAAGCCCCTTATAGTGCTTCCCCTAATAAACCACAATTCTGTTTCTCGGCTACATCCTGGCCTCAGATCATTTGGTGTTATGTCTTTAAAGACAATTTATCTTTAAAGACATTTATGTCATCAAAGACAAAATGACAGCCGATAAAGATTTTCTGTTGGAATAAGCTTTTTAATACCAAGTGCACTGTCGATTTTTGGGATGCTAAAATTAATTAGAACAGAAAACTGTGGTTTTCTGGTAAGTTTATTTGTATCCCTTGTTCATACAACTATTTGTAGCCTAATCTTACATACATTACCTTTCCGCCTCAAAATCGGTTTCAATTGGTTGTCCGACAGAAAACATTTAAAAACCTTTATACTATACTCTTGCAGAGGGTGTTATAACTTCAGTAGAAGCTTGCAAAGCTGTAAAGAGACTCCTCAGACCCCATAAAGTATATATAATATATCCTATTAGTGTCCCTTTCTATGTAAACTAGTCCCTCAGTTTACCTGCCCTTAGGATCGGACGACGATATTGTATTGGTCCCATGGTAGGGATTAAAAAAAATATCCTGAATTTCGAATTTTCATGAAACTTAATTTAAAAATCAATAGGTGTTAGAAAATTCTGTATTCCCAAAAACCATGCTAGTATAATAAATAACAACAATGAATTTTAAATTGGAACTCGAGGTAAACCATTGCTATTAATTCGGCAAAGTCTCAGCACTCTGCACTCTATTATCGTTTAACAGGCTCAATACCGGCAGGAATTTCGTGCAGCACACTGCTTCTGCAAATTATTTTGGGTTCATCTAGACATCTGCAATAAGTTGTAGTGTTTACCATAGTTATGACGTATTTGGTTATATTTTTTTGTTGGCTGGACAAAGGTTTTACAGCACGGAATACAGGCACATAAAATGCCAATTTTTGGGGTTGTAGGACAAAAACTTATTTATGGCGTCGAAGTATTGCGCAGTTATCACGCAGAATTCGCCAACATACACAATCTTGTGTCGTCATCGATATGAGGTAGTATGTACTATTAATGTAGTAATAGTATTATTTATAATAAATAACAGAACATCAAATTTTTGTGCCAAAGAGCATATGCACAACTTTTACTTTAAATTATGCAAAGATAAATTCCAAAGAGATATTTCTTATTACGCAAATTACCAAACTCTTGTTTCTGGTGGATGTAGCGAGTGTCACAACTCTTCAGATCGTATAAAAGTTCGAGTTTGGGATGAAGATAACGATCTTAAGTCGAAGCTTCGTCAAAAATTAACTCGCGAATCTGACGACTTTTTGGGCCAAACAATTATTGAGGTTCGTACGCTTTCCGGTGAAATGGATGTATGGTATAACTTAGAAAAGCGCACAGATAAATCTGCCGTATCCGGCGCGATACGGCTGCACATATCTGTTGAAATAAAAGGAGAGGAGAAGGTAGCTCCCTACCACGTTCAGTATACCTGCTTACACGAAAATCTGTTCCATTACCTTTGTGAGGAAAATAGCGGAATGGTAAGCATTGTGGATTTTAATGTTTAAGAATTTCTTTTCTGTCTTATAACAACTATTCTATCACTATTATAAAAACGTTAAAGGTTAAGTTGCCAACCCAGAAAGGTGATGACGCTTGGAAATTGTATTTTGATGAAATTCCCGAGGAGATTGTCGATGAGTTCTCTATGCGGTACGGAATTGAGAACATATATCAAGCTATGACTCACTTCCACTGCCTCTCTGCAAAATACCTTTGCCCTGGAGTGCCGGCTGTAATGAGCACTTTGTTGGCGAATATAAATGCATATTATGCTCACACGACTGCGTCTTCAGCTGTGTCTGCCAGCGATCGCTTTTCTGCCAGCAATTTTGGGGTACTTAATTTATCTGATATCATCTATGCTAAGTAAAAAGCTATACAAGTTTTAAAAACAAAAATTTTCTTGCACTTTAGAAAGAAAAATTTGTAAAGTTACTGGACCAATTGCACAATTCACTGCGAATCGACTTGTCAATGTATCGAAACAACTTTCCTGCATCAAGTCCAGAAAAGTTGATGGATCTAAAGTCGACGGTTGACTTACTGACCAGCATAACATTTTTCCGTATGAAGGTTTGTAACTTACATACCAAGCTTAAACAATTGCATTAAACTTTATATTTCTGCAGGTACAAGAGCTATCTAGTCCACCGAGGGCGAGTACAGTGGTCAAGGATTGCGTTAAGGCATGCCTGAGATCCACTTATCAGTTCTTGTTTGAGAACTGCTATGAACTCTACAACAGAGAATTTCAGGTAAAATTACCCATAATACATATTTTTTTATATATATAATATCAAACGCAGTAGACTGAACTTAAATGAAAAGGTTAAACTTACGACCTAGGATGTTTTAAAACAAAAAGTGTTTGCACCATTCCTTTTTATTTCTGATACAAAAGCTATTGTTTATAAAAACTGGAACCTTTAGAAGAATTCAGGTTCTAATCCCTAGCAGAGGTTACTTAAATTTTAGACAGACGTTGGCGAGGCAATGAACAAAACACCTCCCACATCATTAAGTACATACTTTTTAGTATACTGTTCTATTCAGCATCACCACCTGAATCGTCGTTCGTCTGTCTGTTCCCTGCACGACGACGACGCACCGATGACAGGGGAAGCAGCCACTGGTGGCGCTCCGATGAGAATTCATATAGTCATTTGTATGGGATCGCCGGTTTTCGTATGCATGAAGCTCTGGATGACAATTTTTTCCGTTTCATCGAATGAGTCATGGGTGGCTTATACGAATTTTGTATGGAGAAAGAGAGGGAAACTTAGGAACATCCCTTTTCCTTTCCTACACACACGATTGCTTAAATGACACGAGTCACCAGGTGACAGCCAGAACTGCAGAGTTCTCATGAATTCGCAAAATATTTGGATCAAACGTTAAGATTCTAGTGACGAATACACGGCCAGAGAAGTTTTAATGTAAATGTCATGCCCACTGTCACAGCCAGAGGAGTTTTAATATAAATGTCATGCCCACTTATACCCCCACAAAAGGCGAAACTCTCTGACGCCCACAGTTTTTATGTTACGGCACTTTAGCTTAGTTGTTTGGGTTCTGGTAATGAAAACGCAGTGAACGGCGTTCTTCAGAATTAAATTCAGAAACAAGCAAAATAACAACTCTAACATAAAATAACATTTTAATTTTTTTTGGCTTTTTAAATCACGTATAGGTTGACCCAAACGAAGCAAAACGTGCACCGGATGACCATGAACCAAAGTTGGATAGCGTTGACTTCTGGCATAAGTTAATAGCACTTATTGTATCAGTTATAGATGAAGACAAGAACAGCTACGGCACCGTTTTGAACCAGTTTCCCCAAGAACTAAATATTGGCCAGGTAAGCTTGCCTATTTTTCCAGCTTGGACTTGAAAATAATATATTTGTTGTATATATCAGCTATCAGCATCTTCAATGTGGCATCTTTTCGCTGTGGACATGAAGTATGCATTGGAAGAGCACGAGCAGCATCGCCTTTGCAAGTCGTCGGCTTATATGAATCTTCACTTTCGCGTTAAATGGCTCTATAGTAACTATGTCAAAGAGGTGCCTCCTTACAAAGGAGCAGTCCCCGATTATCCGGCTTGGTTTGAGCCTTTCGTAATGCAGTGGTTGAACGAGAACGACGATGTATCATTAGAATATCTTCACGGCGCATTTAAACGAGACAAAAAGGACGGGGTAAGCAATATTTTATCCATATTAAGACTTCTGCTAGAATTGTTCCCTATTGTTAGTATGGGAAGGAAGCAATTCCGACTCCAGAAAGCATGTACATATATTTATAAATATATTTCTATAATTACAAAAAAAAATTATCCCATTACAGTTTCAAAAGAGCAGTGAACACGCGCTCTTTTCAAATTCGGTTGTCGACGTTTTTACACAATTGACGCAATGTTTCGATGTTGTTAGCAAACTCGAGTGTCCTGATCCAGAAATTTGGAAACGTTACATGAGGCGTTTTGCTAAAACAATCGTAAAAGTTTTAATAGCTTATGCGGATATTGTGAAAATGGAGTTTCCTGAACATATGAAGGATGAAAGAATTGTGAGTAAAAAAAGGGGGCGAACAATGTAGATAAATGATAACACACCTGCATTATTTTGTGCTAATATGTTATTAGGCTTGTATTCTTATGAATAACATTCAACAACTAAGAGTGCAGTTGGAGAAAATGTTTGAATCTATGGGAGGGGATAAGCTGGAAGAGGACGCAGCCAACATTTTAAAAGAACTTCAGCAGAATTTAAACTCAGCGTTGGATGATTTGGCTTCACAATTTGCCATCAGGTAAACGTTTTTCGATCACGATTAATTATCGATTTAAATTAATTACTTTTAGCTTGGAGCCACGAATAACTCAGTCAGTACGGGAACTGGGAGACATGCTTCTTTCTATAAAGGGAGGCAGTGGAACTCTAACGGCTGGCACCCTAACAGCTCAAAGGAATGCTGTTGCCGTTGAGGCAGATGAAGTTTTAAGGCCTCTCATGGATTTACTCGATGGATCCTTAACTCTTTATGCCCAATCATGTGAAAAAACTGTACTCAAGAGATTGCTTAAGGAGCTATGGAAAATCGTAATGCGAATATTAGAAAAAACAATTGTTCTTCCGCCAATGACTGATAAAACCGTTCGTATTCTGCCTTTGTTTAAAACGAATTTTATGAAATTTATTTATACTTCTTTAATAGATGATGTTTAAGCACCTTACTGACAATGCAAAAAATCTAGCATCTAATGCAAAAATTGAAGATATGGGTCGATTATTTAAGTCCCATATGGCTGGAAAGCAGGATGTTAAAAGTGCGCTTAGCGGTGTAATGGACATATCAAAGGAAGTGGAAAAGAATTTGTCACCCAAACAGTGTGCCGTGCTTGACGTTGCCTTAGATACAATAAAACAATATTTCCACGCCGGTGGTAATGGACTGAAAAAAACGTTTCTTGAAAAATCTTCCGAACTGCAAAGTCTACGTTACGCACTCAGTTTATATACGCAAATGACTGATACACTGATCAAAACCTTTATATCCAGTCAAGTTCACGAGGGTAAGCTTCATTTAATAACATACAACACTTTTTACTTTATAGTACACAGCTTTAACAATATATTATAAATGAGATGAAGATGAAGAGCACAGGGAATCCCTTTTTTGTCTGGTATTGATTCTCAGTTTAAATCAGTTTTTGAGGAAAACCCGTTTAAAGGTTTGAGCGTTGATTCGAACTAACCTGAATCGCGCACCTTCTTTTGTCCCAAACTTTAAAAATATTGCTCGGATAACCTTAAAATTTAAGAACAATATACCAGTCTTGTAAAATTTCATAAGACAAAAAAAAACCTATTTTTTAAACCAGTGAAACCCATGTAACCCCTTTAAAAAATCTTTTCTATTAATTTTATTTTGATATAATCTCCACACAGTTGATCCTGAGAACGCAGAGGAGAGTGTTGGCGAAATTTCCGTACAAATTGATTTGTTCTCTCATCCTGGCACCGGTGAACATAAAGTAAACGTTAAAGGTAAAACAGGACTAATGTTAGTAAAATATACATAAATAAAAACAATGCTCTCCCTCAGTTGTTGCTGCTAATGATCTTAAATGGCAAATACCTTCGGGTATGTTTCGACCATTTGTTGACATCAATTTAATCGGACCTCATCTGCAAGAAAAGAAAAGAAAGTTTGCTACAAAGTCGAAATCAAACAATTGGTCGCCAAAATACAACGAATCATTCAGTTTGTAAGTACTTGTAAAGTATAGAGACTTAAGGTGTTTAACAATTATTTAATAATGTTGTTTAGCACCATTGGAAATGAGGAGCAGCTAGACTTTTTCGAATTGCACATTTGCGTTAAGGACTATTGTTTTGCCCGTGACGATAGACTTGTAGGCGTTGCTGTTATTCCACTGAAAGATATATCGGAAAAGGTATGGACCCTGAAATCTATTTTAAAGTTATATAATAATTAACTTGTAACAGGGATCCGTCGCATGCTGGTTGCCCTTAATGAGACGTATTGAAATGGACGAAACGGGTTGGACCATTCTAAGAATATTGTCACAGCGTAACAATGACGAGGTGGCAAAGGAATTTGTAAAACTAAAATCGGAAATTAGGCAGGAGCCGACAATGGGCACCTAAGCTTACCTGCCTGTACTCCCAACATGAAAAAACGTCGCCCACATGGATATAATTATATTACTTTTAACATATAAAGACATGTTTTTAGTTTTCCAATCTTTTGTTATTACTGTTCTTAGGTAACCTTTTATAAAAAAGTCATCATAAAAGTACATGCTATCAATATATATCTTAACAACATTCTCCAATATAATGAATCTATAACGTTTACTGAAATGACCACATCAAACCTCCAAGTAAATATTGTCTTATACACATTAAAATGCACACTCAGACAACTACAAAAACAATAGAACAATTTATAACTTTTGGCAAACACGTATAAGTTCATAAATCTGATCCATCCACATACATGCGTACATTTGTACATAATGCAGATAGAACTATTATATATTAATTATATTTATTTTATAAATGCATTTTCATATGTACATTTAAAAATCACTAAACGCACATTCCTATTTATGTAAATAAGTACCTGTATAAATAATAATTGGTAATTTTGAAAACGATTTGTTAAGGATACTTCACATTCACAATAAGTCCATGTGAAGCCTTGTTTTTTTCTATTGCAATAAAAAATATATAGTATTAAAAAATCTTTCTTAATATGGTAAAACTGAGAATAAAAGAATGCAGATTTCGAGGGATTAGTTAGATCTACATTGATTTAAAATTAGGGGCATGTAAGTTCTGTTAATCTGCTGGGAACAGAAAAGTTTAGCCTACTAACTAAGTCGGGGTTATCAATACCACCACAAATTAGGTCATGCATAGAAACTGCTCCAAGCATCGTTCTACGGTAAGAAGGGTAAGTTAATTAGAAGACACCGCTCTGCCGCCCTCTCCTGGATTTACATTCAAGTAGTGTTAAAACTGACCTACTCTAATAAAGTCATCTATTTTCAAGTGCATCATCTATTTTTTATTTTTGCGACGCGTAAGTCAATTTTTCGTTTCGAGTGCTTTCCCAGAAAGAAGTCCACCCCCCTACACAAACATTTGGTCCTTCGAGCCGGCTAACGATCGCGTTTTATTTGCAGACGGAACCGATAACTTTGTTTTGTCTCCTGGCATGGGACACGTGGAATGGAACGTAATGCCCGAAGGAGGAAAAACTTCAACACGGTTAAATTAATCCGATCAGAGAAATTGATAAGGCAAAAAATAAAGCCTTGAAACGCGTGGAATGGAACGTCTTAAAATTATTTGGAGATGTTCTGAATTTATTTAAAAAAATTTAATATATTAGAGAGCACTAGTGGAATGGAAAAGTCGATTTTTTTGAGAAATAATTGTTACGGGTTTTTTTTTGTTTTTTTATATAAAGATTTTAAAAAATATATGTACCAGCCAAAAAAAATATTTGTTGCCGCCTTTGGATGGTTGGAAAAAGAAATAATTAATTATTTAATTATTTTTATTTATAAATTAATTTATTTATTTTATTAATTAATTAGTTTTATTTATTAACTGGTAGTTCGTATGTATGTATTTTGTATTACTATTTGCGTTTCGTATGTATGTGTTTTGTTTTTGTTATTTGTGTCTCGTGTTTTCCTTTAATTAATTTACGCCTTTAAAAAATATTAAAAACGAAAAAAAAATAAACATATAATATATATAAATAAAATGGATATTAATATCAGCTGGAAATATTATAAGAGCATGCATGGATTTGTGATGCGGAATTTTAATCGTGATGTAAGTGGAAATATAGTGTAACTAGTATGTTGGGCTTTTTGTTGTGATCTTGACATTAATTATTAATAAATTAATATTTATTAATAAATTTAAATTTTTGCAGTATTATTTTTATTGGATTTTAATTTCTTTGTAAATGTTTTATTAATGTTTTTGGTGTTCTTGGAGATGTGGACTGTATTTAGGAATCGAATTAGGAAAAATTTGCTATTGGAAATTATAGAAAGTCGCAAATTGGCGATCTTATGTATATATGTATATATGTATGAAATGATGTATGCACCGGAGTGTGCATACATATGTAAGTAACATATATAATTGGAAATTAAACGAAGCCGCTATACGGCGATCGTTTATATATATGTGTTTTTTGAATTAAGTATGCACTGGAGTGTGCATACGCATGTACTTATATATATAATGAACTCGAAAATTATGCGAAGCCAATATGGCGATCGCATATATATGTATATATGAAAATTCGTACTTACATACTTTGAGAAAATATCCACCGGTGAACGCTGGTAGTTGCTTCTACTGGAATAATCCGGTCTATGGATCAAATGTCTTTCTTGAAAAGTACTCGAAACGAAAAATTGACTTGCGCGTCGCGGAAATAAAAAAAAAAACTTTGTTGCACTTGAAAATTGAGGACTTTATTAGAGTAGGTCACTTTTTACACTGCTTGAATGTAACTCCAGGAGAGGGCGGCAGAGCGGTGTGGAGCAATGTTGTCATTTTTTTCTGATCAAAAAAAGCTGGATCAACGAAAAAAAAAGCAAAAAAAAGCGGAAATGACACCGCTGGTGTGGAGACAACTAGCAGACCGAGGCCATTATAAATTATTTTCTGCAATAATTGCACAAGATGATAAAAAATCGGAAATACTATGGATTACTGTTGTTGCTCTCGAGCACTGTTTATCTTCAATAAACTTTTTATGCAATATAAAACAATAAATTTAACATTGTTGTCAGTTGACGTTGACAGTGAGAACTAACATATAATTTTTTCCGTCCTTTCTTAGCTTCACAAAAATCACTGCAATGTGAAAAGGCTATAACATTAGGTTATCGTAGATTTTGGTAAGAGCGGGCACACTTATTTTGATTGTGTTATATTAATATCTCTGTGGTACGTGTAAGTAAAACATATTCGGAACGAAAAAGATTTTGTTGTATATTAATATCAACTAAATAAAATATGGTTTCAACTAATTTAACCAAACAAAATTGTTTTCCTCATGACTGCACGTTACTGTAATATATATGCTCATAAGAACACGAAGCGTATCAGTGCTTGAAAAAAAACCACGACATACATATCTAGAGTATTATGCGTATATGTATGTACAACTTTTATGTTTGCCCTGTTGTGTCCATTGTAGGTAGTTCGTAAACTAACTGATGATTTTTTTTTTATCGAGGCGTAATACCATACGCTGTTCATAATTTATATGCTTTTCCAGGACAATATTGATATGATCTTGAAAATAAGTCTGTACGTGATCCGTCATTTTTTTTTACATTTTTTAGGTTAGGTACCTTGCCTTCTTTTTTTATATCTTAAATTTGTCTTTCTATTTGGTAATAATTGTTACACTTTGCTTTAATGGACAAGCTTATGTTTTTGTGCACCCATAAACTGATCCGCTAAATGCTTACACTAGTCGTGAAATCTTTTTTAATTTGGCCAACATGTTCAATAATTAAATAATAAAAATAAAATAAAAAAATAAGCAATCAGTTTTTAGAAAACCCGTATCCAGTAATTTAATTAGGAATATAAATTTGTAACTAGGCAATACTTAATCAAATAACAGCAATTTCTATTTTTCTTCAGAATTAGCGAAAGCCAATATTAAACAAAAGGCTACTTAAAATGACAGATTCGATGAAGTTTGGTCCGGAATGGTTGCGCAATATGTCAGCTGAGCCCTCAGGCTCTCCCAGCAGCTTTACCGTTGGTTCGGGAGGACCCAACAGCTCTCTTGCAGGCCAAAACATAGGCAGCAACACAACAACAGCATCAACTTCGCGTAATCTCTTTCCGGAGTACCGTTACGGACGCGAAGAAATGCTCTCCCTGTTCGATCGGAACTGTTTGTTGCCGCAGATTTTGCCTTCTTTTAAAAAGCTTTTTGTGGAGAAGGTGCAATACCCCCTGGCCCTAACACCAAGCTCCGAGGAGGACAGCAACGTACCTCCCCTTGGGAGTAGCGTAAGTCTACTTAATGGTGGTTATTTTCTGCAATTGATATTCATTTCCTTTTCCAACAGAGTCGTCCTGCCTGGTTGCAGCGTTCTTCGGGTGGATTTAGCACTGGATCCAGGGGTACTGGACGTGGTGGGACGGTTGAACGCGGTCGAATGCGCGGTAAATCTGTGTATCATCCTATATATCAACGTCCAGGTGGACTTTACGATGACGGCCTATCGGTAATACCTATCAAGGTAATCGGAAAGACTTGAGAATGTTTCGATATTTTTTTAAACTCATATTTACTGTCCTCCTCCAGGCCGAACGATCATGGAGTGACCGAAATGGGACTGGAGACTCTGCCATAACTAGCACTTGTACTAGTAGCCCAGCGGCCCAAGATTGGAACGGAACTCCTAGCTCAAGTCCTCGAAAGGACTTCTCCAGTCATTATCGCAATATGGAGAACTGGCGACGATCTCGCAACGAAGACGGATCAGGAGATGGTCCACTTGCTGCTGGTTCAATGGGCGGTGCCGATATTGGTTGGCGAAGTGGTGGAGGAAATTCCAATAATAGTTTTGGTTCCAACAGCAATCGCTGGGGTCAGTTGTTAAATTTAATCTATTTTCAAATTTTTGTTACATTCGAATGCATTAGAAGAAAGTTCTCAGTACTAGTTTGGATTTTAGTTAGAAATATTTCAATCCTGAGGATAGAAGTTAACGATAATGATCAGCAATGGAGTAAGAGGTTTAAGTTTAGAAGTATTTATTTTTAATTTATATTTAATTGTGTTGTGGATAAAGTCTTTTGACTGTCAGTAAATTCTGTAATGTGTCCATGGGGAAATCAATCTGTTCATGACTTTACACTCATACTTTTGTTTCAGGCTTTTCTTTTACCTACAAGGCACTACTTTTAATACCATTGCAGAGGGTATTATAATTTCAGACAGAAATGCAGTGAAGCAAACTCCCTAGACCCCTTAAAGTATATATAAATTCCCGATCAGCATCACCGTTTAAAGCGACCTAGACTTCGTTGTCTTGTTACTATAGATTTGTGATATAGTTATCCGATTTGTATAAAATTGAATTCGAAATTCGATATATGCTGCGTTCAATAACTACTTTTTGCAAAGCTTTAGCAAAATAGCTTTAAAACTGAGAGACTAGCTTACATAGAAACAGACATACGGACAGACGGACATACGTACAGACGTATTTCGATTCAGATCATGATGCTGATCAAGAATATACACTATGGGGTCTGAGGTGTCTCCTTCACTGCCTTGCAAACTTCTGACTAAAAATTTTATACCCTAATAAAATTAACAAATGCCAAACAAAAAATAATAACTTTTTTTTTTTTTTCTAGGAAGATCTACAAGTTGGCGTGATGAAGACGCTAGTGTCGACAGCCCAACTGGCTTGCAACGTTCAATTTCAACAGTTGGGACCGTTGGCACGGATCGGGAGCGCATTGGAAATAGTAAAGGATCTGGAATGGCGTCTGGTGATGGCGGAGGGGGAGTATACCAATTACTTCTGTACGTTTGTCAAGCTCAAAAACCTCACAATTATGGACGCTGAATAACAATGCAGTTGGTGCTGACACCGATGACAATCTGCCCGAATGGGCTATGGAAAATCCATCTGAATTGGGTGGCAGCTTTGATGCTAGTGGGGCCTTTCATGGTGATGCCGATCTGCAAAATAACAAAAGATCGCCAAATACTTTAAAGGAAAAAAGCCTAAACTCTGGCCACGATGTTACAAAATCGACAAGTGAAAAGATCTCAGATGAAGAAAGTGTTAGCGATAAAACCTTTGAGGTCCCATCATTGAAAGATCCGAGCCTTGGGGCAGCACAGGAAGTCAATGAGAGCTGTTTATCTCCAATTAACTCGATACAAATGGAAGTGATCCACGGCGATATTTCAGATAGAATCAAAGAAGTCACCGATGAAGTGGAAAAACTAATAATGGAAGATGATAATCAAAACACTAAAAATCAGAGCCACCTTGAAAATGATTGCGCTCGGTGTACCACCGGTACGCTGCCAACTCTATCAGATATTGAGTTGGGCGTGAAAGCAAATTCATTGAGTGGAACTGTAGTGCGTCCGCACACCATGCCTGTTATTGAAACGGCTCATTTACCCCATCAGCATTCAGCTATACCCTTTTCAGACCATATGGTCATGCAGCACCATAATATGAATCGCCATTTCTCAATGATTCCAGCGCCACATATTATCAGTCCAAATCTGAATGAATTATGGTTCTACCGGGATCCCCAGGCAAATGTGCAGGGACCATTTAGTGCCATCGAGATGACCGAATGGTATCGCGCTGGGTATTTTAACGAGAACCTCTTTGTCCGTCGGTTCTCCGATACAAGGTTTAGACCGCTGGGCGAGCTTATTGAATTTTGCCATGGAAACATGCCATTCACGCACAGTCATCTACTTCCTTCCTCAATGGACCTAGAAAATCTTCCTGTTGGACAGATCCCAGCCCCTCTACCAGCGGCTATTCCAATCGCGACACGCAAGCCTTCTCCAATTGCCCTTTCTCTGTCTGTGGTTGAACAGCAGTTGCAGCAACAGCGAGATGAGCAACTCAAAGAAAGTGTGACAGCAGCTGCGGAATCTCTTTGCGCCGCAATAAAAGGAAATCTGAATGGAAATAGCATGGGCACCACCTCGCATATGCTGACAATGCGATTTCAGATGCTGCAGGATCAGTACTTACAGCACCAGGAGTACCAAATACTGGCGGAGCTCAGTAAGAATGATTGCTTTAAAAGACTTTCGGCCTCTGAACGGGAGGCGGTTGTTCGTCGAAAAGTTCAATCGCTTGTTCTTCCTGAGTACTTGAGCAACTTGAACGGATTGAGCAACTCGCTGGCCGCCTTGAACCCCTTGGCCGGCAACCAGTTGTATAGTGCAGTGGCCGAACAGGCCAAAAAGGATCAGCACCATATGTTCGCGAACAGTAACGAACAGCAACGGTCGGTGGGTAATCTTCTGGATGCAAATAACTTCATATTGAATGCTCAAATTATGCATCAGCAAGAGCATCCAGTAGTAGGAGCCCCTTTGACAACATCCGATGATTGTGGTATAAAACGTGGATCTACAGCTGACATTAACAAACTGGATGAACTGCCCAGAAATGATATGAACTTGTTAAATGAATACAACTTAAGGATGCTTTTGCGTGGCCAACCGACCAACCAAACATCAATGCCAAATCCTGCTACCGAAAATCTTTCTGGGGGTGATTTTGTAACCGAAACACAAATTCTAGCTGGACAAAACATGATGATTCCAATGTGGTTGCCCACCAACAAGCAATCACAGCCAGAGTGGCCGGGAATAGCAAAACCAACATTGTGGGAAGTAGGAAATTTGAGTAAAGAGCAAAATGAAGATAAGTCGCTGCAAATGCAAAAGACTCCGCAAACCAGTTTTATCGATCCAGTACATACTGTACAATTGCCAGCAATAGCCCAAGCTCAATCGGAAGATAATTTTAAACTTTGTTCTCCTGAAGAATTACACGAGCGCCAGACTGCTGACAATGTAAAGGACTCTCATAATCAAAAATTAGCAAATCACTTGGTTTCCGATATTGAACAGTATCAAATCAATGAAGACCTTCAAACAAAGCAGACTAACAAACAGCATTTGAATGTAAAGCAGAATTTGCCGCAGTCGGTTGCAGTCAATAAAATATACGAAGACGATCGAAAACGAGAACAGACAGAAGAAAAGAGGCGCTTCAAGGAAGAGCGCAAGCGTCAGCATTTGGAAGAAGAAAAACGACGAGCTATTCTGGAATCCGAAGAGAAGGCCCGTCAAATGCAGGAGGAAAAAGAAAGACAACAGCAAATTCAAGCGCAGCGTCGAAAGGCATTACTAGCCAATGCTCAATCCTCAGTTCATAGTGGCATTACAGGTAAGGACTCCTAATAATCTTCGCGTGTAAAATGTGTAATTATCCAGTTTTAAAATCTCTCGCCTTACTAAAGAATTCTTGATATTGCAAGTAGCATTTAAAAAAATAAAAATAATGTTGGGAAACATATTATAAAACAAAATTAACAATTGGAAACACTAAAAAAATGTATTAGAGAAGTCGGCATTAGATCTTTATTGATCTTTATTGCAAAACCTTTTTATTTGGAGAGGCTATTATAATTTCAGTCAAAAGTTTGCAACGCAGTGAACTAGAGTAGTATGAAGTATTCTTGATCGGCATCACGATCTCAATTGAATATAGTCTTATTCCCATAGAAAACATATGGGGGATCATGGTCCGCAACATTTACAACAAGGGTATCAACATTAAAGGCAAAACAAGATTAGGATTCATTGGACGATTCTTTGTATCAAAATTACAATCCAAATTCTTGTTTCTATGACCCAATTGTGCATGCTCGTTAAACTTAATGGTCAATCTATAAAATAAATAAAAAACAAAAAATTAAAAAAAATGAAACAGATTGAACGCAAGAAAAAAGTTTTTAAATATTTTTTTAGTAGAAACTTTCATCAGCTACCCTGTAAATGACATACAAAATTTGGTTATGCTTATTATAATAGTACAACTATGTAGGGTATATAATAGTCGAGGCATTCAACTATACCAATTTTCTTGTTTTAAATATAGTATTAAAATACAACCGTTACTCTATTTTAAGGAAGTCACAATTCTGCTCACGGTAAAAATGACTCTATCAAGTCGGACGAACCGCAACCTTCCTCGCGTTTGCCCACAGCATCCGTGGCACCGTGGTCTCTTCAGTCACCCAACCCTAATAACACCGCGCCTGGACTGGCAGAGATACAAAAGGCAGAGCGTCGGGAGCGCCGCGCGGATCAGCAGCGACACCAGGAGCAACTGGAAAAGCAATTGCGTGCCAATGCTGCGGCTGCAGCTGAAGCCAGCGATGCTCTGCTCAAATGGCAGGCAGCACCTGCGTCTGCTCCCGTAATGGGGCTTGCGGAAATTCAGGCGGAGGAGGCCAAGAGGTTGTCCAATGACCTGCTCGACCAGCAGCGTAGACGCGAACTGGAGCAACAACAGAACGCGGCTTTGCCACCTTCAATGGTTGGAACTGGTGGATCTGTTAACATCTGGGGCAATGCCAATAAGGCATGGAGCGGTTTGAGCGCCACTCCTGTACTTCATTTAAAATCAAGCGCTGGCACTGGTCTCTGGGATGAACAGAGTTCTACAAGCTTGAATCAGAATCTGCATGGATCTGGAACGTGTAGTAGCAGTCCTGCTAACGCTGCAGCAGTTTTGGCAGGAGGATTGAACTTGGCCAATAAAACAAATCTGCAAACGCAGAGTAAGACATCGACTTCATTTGCTTCGCCTCGAAATTTACGCAAAAGTCAAACCTTGCCTGCCATTCACAACACAGGAAAAACCACAACTAAAATGACGCCAGGTCAACCGCAGCAAGAGAAACCCAAGTCGAGTCAGATTCGTGCAGGTTCAAAGGTCACAACTACCTTAGTTGAGGAAAAAGATAAGGAGAAGAAGTCGAACTCAAAGAGCCAGGTTCAGGCAACCAGCACAGACCAAGCTATTCGTAAGGTCAACGAGTACGAAAACGAGTTCACCAGCTGGTGTATTAAAAGTCTAGATAATATGTCTGCGAAAGTCGATGGTAAATATTTTGAATCTTACTTTTTCTTATATTATATTATATTATATTTTCTTTTAGTTCCGACGTTTGTAGCATTTCTGCAGGACTTGGAAGCGCCTTATGAGGTGAAGGACTACGTGCGTATATACCTGGGTATGTAGTTTTTGTAAGTTGTGGACAAAATTTTAAGAAAATCTAAGCATTGGAACCAAGTTTATGGAATAGAAGAAATATGTTACTAAAAGTAAAAGAGGTTCCATTAATATCGGCTAACTTTTGGTTCATATAACCCTACATCCATCATTATTTCGATCCTTACATCGACAACGATAACGTGTACTATACAGTATTTCTCGAGTTTTGTCGAACTGCCTTTTTGCCACTTTCCTCTTTGCATTGTTAAGACCCCTTTGAGTAAATCTGGGTCGTCGTTGACGGAATTCAACAGTTCTTCAGCGAGTCGCCTTGCTTTTTGAACACGTCTCGTATGATTTACCTCTTCAAGGATTTACCAAGATAAAAACTTTTCAATTAAAATTGAAAGAATTCGAAACTAATAAAGACAGAATCCAATTCTATGGCTGTCACAATCCTTTGAAATCCTATAGGTTAACGGTAAATATCTTTCAGGTGATGGAAAAGAGTCCTTGGACTTTGCCAAGCACTTTTTGGAAAGACGCAGCAAATACAAGAACTTGCAGCGTGCCCAGAATGCACATAACGATGATATGTGTAAGCCAGCTCCCGCAATAACACCGTCTGCGAACGACTATACCGACAGCAAGGTGGGTCTTGTACGTTAAATTAGATTATTGTGTTAATTTTTATTTTCAAGAACAAGCAGAAGAGAGTGAAGAAGAACAAGATGACAAAGATGGACGCTCGGATTCTTGGGTTTTCGGTGACGGCCGCCGAGGGTCGCATTAATGTTGGCGTTCGTGACTATGTTGAAGGACCATAACCACTCCGGAAGGCCAAAAAAGACCTCAGATTTTATATAAAATTACAAAGCTAATAAAGTTCAGATTTGAATTATATGCGTTAGGTCACAAATGGATGTGCGCTAACCCCTGATACACATAAATAAATAAATAAATATATAACTACATATATAAACTAACTTGTTGTTGTTAGATTATTTTTGAAAAATAAATATTCGTGCGTAAAGTCAAAGCCATAGGTTTTTTGGTTTTATTACTAGGGTTGTAAAACCAGCCGCTGGAAAATACAATATATGTATATTTATAAGGGGTGAGAAGCTAAAGAATGAAGTCTTTCAACAGCTGGTTGTGTTTCCTGCATCTAATGGTTTTGTCCTTGCGTTTGTTATTCGATCATTGTTGTAAAAATGTGCATTCAAAAATGTATACATTGCGCAATCAAACAAATTAACGCCTTTTGTTCTTTTCCACTTCAGTGCAAAATAATAAATAACAGCAGCAAGCACCTTATTTGTTACTGTGGCGTGTACATACTAATTGTGCTTGAAACTTTTAACCTTACTTGCGTTTTCCATTCGAAATTGTGAGCGGTAAATTTCGGATAAAAAGTAAAAAATAATCTAAAACAGGAAAAAGATAGCTTTGGCAAGCCAAAGCTATTATTGGTTCGATCCTTACAACGTCAGAAATAAAGCAAACTTTTCTAGTTTTGTCGAATTTTTTATTTATTTTCTAATTTATAGGTATTTTTATACCCTTGCAGAGGGTATTATTATTTAAGTCAGAAAATGAAAAAAACTTAATAAAAATCGGACAACTATATCATATCGAAAAATATATATCAAATTAATGGAAATAAATTGATGATAAAAAACGTCATTGATTTTTATCACACGACCATGATTTTTTGAGTATCAAGTTTTTAAGCTAGCCTTGAATTAAGAAAAAAATATCATAAAATTCGGACTACTATTGGGTTGGCAAGAAAGTCATGTCGTTTGTAATCTAATTTATTTACGACTAATCGAGCACCAGGGTCACACTTTTTAGTATCGTTTTAAAGCTTATTGTCTTAGGTACTATCGACGAAAATTTGGTAATTATTCGATAACATTTGTGGAAGCTATAGCAAATTAAACATGGAGGACCAAAGTGAGCATTTTCGGCATATTTTGCTTTTTTACTTCCGAAAAGGAAAAAAGCGGTCGAAGCTCGCGAAAAATTGTGCGAAGTGTATGGTAAAGATGCCATGAGTGGTCGCCAATGTCAGCGCTGGTTTGCCAAATTCAGGCTTGGAGATTTTGGAGTTAAAGACGCCCTACGTTCTGGTCGACCATCGGCCGTTTTTGACGAACAAATTCAGGCTTTGCTGGATAAAAACCGGCGTTATTCAACGCGGGAGATGTCAGAGAAGCTCAGTGTGTCGCATACAACGGTTGAAAACCATTTGAAGAAACTTTGCTACGTAGGCAAGCTCGATGTTTGGGTTCCGCATAACTTAAAGGAAATTCACCTAACTAAGCGTATCAACATCTGCTATTCTCTGCTGCAACGGATTAAAAACTATCCTTTTTTGAAGCGGATCATTACTGGCGACGAAAAGTGGGTTGTTTCAATAATGTCCAACGAAAAAGATCATGGAGCAAGAAAGATGAGCCAGCCCAAGCCACATAAAAGGCCGATATCCATCAGAGGAAGTTATGCTGTCTGTTTGGTGGAATTGGAAGGGTGTAGTGCACTTTGAGCTGCTGGGACGGAATGAAACCAGCTGAATTGGGAAGTGCTACCACATCCACCTTATAGTCCGGACTTAGCACCTTCAGATTACCATTTGTTTCGCTCTCTTCAAAACTCTTTGAATGGTAAAAACTTTGATTCAGATGAGGCTGTCGAAAACCACTTGTCTCGATTCTTTGCTGGAAAAGACCAAAAGTTCTTCGAGCGCGGAATTGTGCAGCTGCCCGAGAGATGGTCATTAGTGGTCGAACAAAACGGCCAATACATAATTGATTAATTATAAGTCCTGATATAAATAAATCATCTTTGAAAATATTGAAAAAACGACATGACTTTTTGCCAACCCAATACATATATAGCTGGCATAGGAAAGATCGAAAAATCTTAATACAAATAATGGAAATAAATTGATACTGTCATTGTTTTTATCACACGACTATGATTTTTTGAGTAGTTTTTTTTTAGCTAGTTTTGAATTATTACCTGTACAAATAATAATATTTAACATAGCGCTATCAAATTTACAACTTAAGTTGTTGGAGGACGGTATTATCGATCACAGTAATTATTTTTTTACTACCCACAGTTATCAGGTCAGGTCGAGAACTTTTGGGACCACCCTCGTACATAAAGGCTAAACAACATCGAATCTATTACTATTTTTCTACTAATTTTCCATATTTTCTACTATTGTTCATATGACAGCTGTATTATATAGTTATCCGATTTTTTTGAAATTTTTTTTTGCAATTCAAGGGTTGTTAAAAAACTCGCTGATCATAAAATCATGCTCGTGGGCTTAAAAACAAAGACGTTATCAATTTATTTCCATTAATTCTACGTTTTTTTTATACCCTTGCTGAGCAAAAGGGTATCACAAGGAGACACCTCAGAGCCCATAAAGTATATAGATTCTTGATCAGCATCACGGTCAGAATCGAAATACGTCTGAACGTCTGTCCGTCTGTTTGTTTCTTTGTAAACTAGTCTCTCACACACTCTTATTCTGTTATTAATAACATATCTTATATCTTTAGGAAAAAAAATGAATTTAAATGCTTTTAAAAAGATCCTCCTTCGGAGGAGGTCAAAATTGACGGGAAAGCAGTTGGTTAATCCAATTTTGTAGGAAATGCCTTTGCAAACAACAAATCGAAGTAAGTTAGGTTCCTCCTGAAGGCTGACAAAGTGTATTATATGTATATAAGTTATTTTCCATGGGTTTTTCGTTGGTTACTAAATGAATCAATTTGTTTATAGTTATTTTTTTTTATATTTATTTTACGTTCTATTTTTAGGCAACGGGCTATTTCTGCCAAGGTGCTATGGATTCTCTCTACTTGACCGTTTGAGGTTATATGGAAAGTTGGTTAAAGATATTTAATAGAATTGATTTTATTGTCTCTGAATTTAATTGTCTTCATGTTAAGAACAAAATTTACTATGTGTAATATGGGGGGCCTACGACGATAGCCCTTGATGCGATGGCCTGGCTTTGTGTACGCATGTAAGGGTTCCGTTGAAAGATATCAATGTAGAGGTTTTCCCCAAATAACCTGGTATTGGTGCTTGTGCTTTTGTCTGTAATGTCCTCAACGAGGTCTTTCGTATGTTTAAATTGTTCCTCGGAACAACATAACAACATATTTAGCAAATTGTCACGGTCGGAAGTGTTTATTATATGTCGCACCCCGCTTGCCCCGTGGTCTTCATTAATCCCTTCCAGCGCTTTAATTTCGCATTAGGGTTTTTATCCGAGTCCTATGCTATAAATCCCAAATGTTGAAGAACTTTGTTTTTTCCTGGGATTTTTACTTAAAAAGGTTTTTTTTGTAAACATGGTCCTCTTCGGTTTTGGAGAATACCAAAACATCATCGATATACACAAAACATATCTTTGGAATTCCTTCTCTCAAGACATCATCGATGGCTCTTTGAAAAATGATAGGAGCATAATTGAGTCCAAATGGCAATCTACAAAATTCGTATGTGTCGTTGTTTATTGAGAAAGGCGAATTTTCTCGGTCTTTCTCTGCCAGTTCTAACTGGTTAAAACCTGACTTGAGGTCAAGAGTTCTAAAAAAGTAGACTCGCCCATATTTGTGATGCTGATCAAAAATATATATACTTTATGGGGACTAAGGTGTCTCCTTTACTGGGTTGCTGCTGGTATAACAATAGCAAGAGTCATCTGTATCTAGATCATACTTTATTTCTGTGGCGCACGCCTGAGCATCGGACTCATAATCTTCTTCACCGGATTTTTCTTCTGGTATGAAAATGATTATTTGATGTCATGTTGTGGATTGCCTAAATCCAACCTAAATCAACCTTCATCGGTTCTGGATTTGTTTGCCCGTGGTTGTTCCCCACGTTAGAACCAGTTTGATTATTGCCTCCTCTTTGAAGTCTGTTGAAATGAAGGTTATTTTGATCGCCGCCAAATTTGGGTTTTTCCATTTTTCAAAAACTTAAATTTTAAAATATTTTTTGTCATACAACCCGGTAAATTGGCATTTTTCGTGCCTCTATTCTATGCGGTACATCGCTGTTTTCAGCTGTTTACCGAACCCGTGCGTAATCCGCTGTTTTGCACTCAAAATGCCAAATTTAACGGGTTTAGGACAAAAGCACCGTGTGTATCTCGTACGGTAAATACGAGATCACACTCGTGTATAGCTGCCCTCGCTGCGCTCGGGCGCTAACTTCACGAGTGTAATCTCGTTCTTACCGCACTAGATACACAAGGTACTATTATATTACGTAAACTTATTTTTGAATAAAATTCTCCGGCTGTATTTTTTGAAATACAAAATGAGGCGGTAAATGTTGAGGCAGGGTTGACGTAGGATTTCCCTACAGCTCCCTTTTATTCCATTTTTCCGTCGGAGGGACAAGAGGGGTATCCCTACAGCTCCCTTTTATACCTCTATTGGTTATTTTTTATTAATTTGCGAGATCCTTTGTTTTCTTGCTTTAATTTGTTGGACGTTTTTTTTTATTTTGTTTTAACTCGAACTTGCACTTTCCGTCGGACCTGGCCTGCAATTTGATAAATTCTGTTTGCTCGTGATAAACTATATGTATTATTTGACACCGCTGACATCCTTCGGAAAACGAGTGCCTAGATCCTGAAAATTGGCTGTGAGCAGTTTGGGCAGCCTCTGTGAATTTCAAGCTTTGGCCTCTATGTTGTCCACAAACATCGAGTATCTGTGGTTCCCACAACTTTGTGGGCGTGTTCATCATTCTGTTTGAACGGCGATGCTTTAAAAAATATTAAAGCTAGAATCAGTGGCGTAACTATACCATCTGGGGCCCGTGGCAAATTTTTTTGATGGGACCCTGTCATTATACCCTTGCAGAGCAAAAGGGTATTATAATTTCAGTCAGAAGTTTGCAACGCAGTGAAGGAGACACCTCAGACCCCATAAAGTATATATATTCTTGATCAGCATCACGATCTGAATCGAAATCCGTCTGTATGTCTGTCCGTCTGTC